CGAGTCTGTTCTAGCACTCGTCGAGTCCCAAGAACTCTAGTTCCAACACTAAGTCCAATGCATCGGGTCACTCTTTCTTTCCTGCTACAACCCTGCTAACACGCAATTGAGTTCTTTTGACCCTCAACAGATATGGGACTCAAAGCCTTGGACTCGTCGAGTCCCACGAACGGACTCGCTGAGTTGGTCACATCCACACCCTAAATCCTCAACTTCTGATGTACAGCTCATGACCAAAGGATAGATCTAGGTTCCTATAATCGTTCTAGCATGTAAAGTTACAAACTTTACATGCATGCATAGGACTTTGAGTCTAAAAGCCCCTAAAACTAGCTCTTGGGTTGCATGGAGTCTTCCTTTGGTGGAAAATAACCCACTTTCTGCCTTGAGACCCCTCAAAGGACCTAGATCCGAAGCCTTGTCCCCAACCATGCTTGCATTCATGGTTGGCTACCTAAAATGGCTTATAAAAGACCTAAATATCCACAAAATGGGATCTAGAAATTGAACAAGCAAGTTAGCAACTTTATACCTTATGAAGACTGAAAATGAAGCACAAACTCGAACCCCTCTGGTCTCCTCTTGTTTCCTCAAGCTATTCTCCTCCCTTCTTAAGACCACCAACACCAAAATCCACAACAATGACTTAGATTGCTTCAACAACAGCTGGGGTTTTCTTATAGAGGGTTTCAGGGTGCATAAGGGATGATGGAGGTTGCATAAGGTTGCTTAAATAGGGTGCAAACCCTCAGATTCGGGTTTTTATCCAGCCAGGGCCTACTCGTCGAGTCCGGGACCCAACTCGTCAAGTCCATCACTTAAGTCCTGTGTTCTGTCCCGCTTCTACTTGGCGAGTTGGTCCTTCGACTCGCTGAGTCCAAGGCCAAAAATGCAATACACTTTGATATAAAAATAAAAGGAATACGTACCAACACTACTAGAAAAATAGCCTTTTACGACGCGCGAACAACGACACGCGCTGTTTTATGATACGCAATAGTGTGTGCCCTAAAAATAATGTTGGATATCCAAAAATTAGAAGGATTTAGGGCACACATTTTTGCTCGCCCTAAAATAAGTGTTACATTAAAAAAAACACGGAGGGCACATAACATAAAATGCGCGTCCACAAAGTATGTCGCCTTATATTTTTTAAATAAAACGCGGGTCACTTTTTTTTGGGGAAAATGAAATTCCAAAAAGTTTGAAAGTGTCACAACTAGCATTTTTGCTAGGAAATTCTACTCTCAGGTAATTATTCAACTAGTGTCATAACTTGTACTCTACGTGAATACTATACTCTAACCTAGTTCAAATACATCTCATATGTTCAACTAAGGGTTGGAAACCTTAGAAATCTCGGTTCAAGATTTATTATGGGCTAGGATTTTCTTATTGGGTCTAACGAAACAATAAAATTTCAACTTGACTACTTTGGGCCTAAAATGATCCATCTTATTTATAATGGGCCTCATTGGGCCATAACAACTCCAATTAACCTTATTGGACCAATAAATCAATTCTTTTATTCTTTTGGGCCGTGAACTACCTTAAAGGTCCAATGGGCCGAAAATTAATATCGGGCTTATGAGATTCGATCAACACCAATAATTTGGGCCCAAAATCATTTTTTTTTCTCATTTCATCAAGCCCAATCTCGGCTCAACTATAAATATATATATATATATATATATATATATATATATATATATATATATATATATATATATATATATATATAAAGGGTGCTTAAGAGTTTGACACCTCATTTTAGTCTAGTGGATATCCATGCATAATTTGCATGTATCTAGGAAGCATCTACCAAACTTTTCACAAGACAAACTCCCATTATCTCACCCTCCCTCTACCTCTCGGCCAAACACCCAAAAACACCACCTCCATTTCTTTCTTTCAAACTCTCTCAAGAACTCTCCTCATCTTCCTCTAAATTTTCGAGTTTTGGTGTGTAGATTCAAGAGGATCTTCATTTAGATCATTAACTTTGGTAAGTTCTTACTTAGATCTATGATTTAACTTCTTAATCTCTTCAAAAATCTCCTCTTACCACTTCAAATTCGTGACCATGCTCCCTAGAACTCATCAAGATTCGAAGATCACTTCAAGAAGCCAAATAGAGTCATAACTTACACCACCTTCTTCTTATCTTCATCAAAACTGAAATCCAAACCCCAAGGTGAGTTCATACCCCCTTGATTTCTGTTTTCATTTGTTTTTGGGGGGGAGAATACAAGTCATATGTGTAGATCTATGTATTTATGCTTGACTATGTGTGTTTTCTTGAAACATTTGGTGATTATGTGTTGATTCCTTCACTAATCTAAAAAGATGTTAAGAAACTTGAAGTGTATCACTAGGATCTCCATATGAATCATGAGAAAAGTATGTTTTATCACATATAATGCATTTAAACTTTTAGATCTGGGATTTGTACACTTGAAATAGCAAAAATGAGTGTTGTATTCAAAGATCTATAAGCTAAACTCACAAAACAGCCCTTGACAGGAAAGTTTTGGTCCAATCTCGGACTGTTTTGACCATCCAAATGGAAGTATTTTTCAAAACTGTTTTACATGGATAAAGTTCAGGTTTATACCTTTAAAATGACTACTCGCACGTTTTCATACGATTTTTCTACAATTTTTGGCGAATTTTACAAAACTGCCTATCATATTTGAAATAATTTCGGACCAACCTGTGAAGATGAACAATTTCACACTTGTTAGAAGCCATCAAAAATTATGAGAAAATTTTGGAACAAAATAGACAAGATTTCTAAACTTTGATAGTTTACGGATCCAATTTTCGACTTACGATGATTTTTCTACAAATTTTCAAACAACTAGGTCGAAAAAGTTCAAAAATCAGAAAATATGCGTTTTCACATAACTCAAGTTAAGAATGTTATTTTTGACAATAAGGGATTTCAAAATGTTGTTTTCACTACAAAATAGTTATCAAAACAAGTTTTGAACAAAATGGAGACCAAAGTGTTATTCTTATAAAAATTGGGCCTTAATCCTAAATTTTTGGCTTATTGGGCCAAGAGCATCATTTTACAAAAGTGGGTTTTAGATTTCAATCATGTAAATAATCAATACCAAAACAAACAAAACAATAACTAACACGAACCCGACACGATGAAATACTAGTACCTCGCTTATCGACGAAATACAATACATTACAATACCAAAAGTCGTTGTCAAACGAATTGGTTCGGTCTCGAACCAATAACAATCCGAAACTACTAACACGACACTATGACATTACGACATTACGATTCATAACTAATAACGATTGGGAAGTCACTATACATACGAGTGTGCACAGACGTCTACGCACCATCTTTGGGCCCCAAAAGTGTAAAATCTTGTTTGTTGAGCCTAGCTAGCCCAATGACCTGATCTTAAGGCCCGAAGACCTCTCTCTTACGAAGTGTTGGGTTTTACCGATCCGACATAACGTAAAAGGACTTTCAATGGCAAACATGCTGCTGGTCCCCAAGGGTCCTTCAGTGCTGCTAGTAAAGTCTGTAACTCATGATTGAGGGTTGGGCTTCGGGCCCTTCGCAATTGCAATGGTCTTGAACGACGCGGGGAAATACCGAGGGTTACGCACCTTCTTTTCTTCCCTCCGGTCGTGGGACTACACAAGTCCGGGAGGATTGAGTTGTGTGAAAAATTACGAGTGACGCCTAAAGGATCGCTTGTAAGGTTGTTGATTGGACGTTTTCATTAACGCACGTCACAACACTTCACCACCCACTGTATTCTCAATGCCTCCGGAGCTCAACGGTTTCCTCTAAAGCAACGAAACAACGGTACACAAACTAAGTAAAGCAAAGTGATAGGAAAACGTCGGGTTTTCCTAGGATTTTCAACTAATACATTTACGAATTTCATGCCGAATTTTACAACTCGTACGCTTACATCTATAGAAAACAAACAAGCATACTTACGGATCCACACATTTTTTTTTCTTTACCATACTATTTTCAGAAAATATCGGATTTTCTGGTGGTTTTCGAAACGATACAAACATTGGATTTCAAACATTACTTATGAACTCACCAACATTTCATATGTTGACGTTTTTTCAAAATACTTGTATTCTCAGGTAACAGATAAGTCGAAGGGATAAGTGTACTCAGTGACGTTTTGCTGCTTGTTAAATTAATACCGAACAATCTACTTTTTGGGCATGTAATGTTAGGGAACAATGTACTAAATGTAAACGCTACCAGTTGTATTATTCCAATGCTTGGTGATGTATAATGTTATGTTTCATGTATATTCATTGTGATGGTATTCAATTGAGTCACAACAGTCCTCGGACGTTTCCGCCGTCTGGTTCGGGGGTGTGACAAAAAGGCCCGCCATGTTCCTACCTTCTTTCCACCGTTCTTCTCTCCCTTACTCAAAATACCCAAAAAAAACCCTAATATACTCATCGCTCCTCTTTTCTCCCACAGCAAACTTGCACCATCACCAAATCTCTGATCTCCGACCAGCAAAACGTCTCCTACCGATGTCTCCACCTACTCTCTGCCCTCTCACTATTTCTCTCAATTAAAAACGCAAGATCCCTCAATCAGAGAACCATGGCTACTTCTCCTTTGTCCCACACCAGTTGGAAAAAAGTGAGGAGTCTCGAGCCTAGCAGTTGATATTCACACGCCCTCATAAATTGAAGGAATCAGAACATTGTCGACATCAATTCGTTAATCATTACTAGAGAAATCAGATACGCCATCTGGTTGATGAGTCAAGAGAAATCACATACATCGTCGCTTTAGCAATCATCCCTCCTTTTAACCGTAAGTTTTCAATCTTACACTTTACAAATATCATATAAACATCTCTCTCTCTCTCTCTCTCTCTCTCTCTCCTGCTATACCTTGATGAATTATCACATACAGATGAAGGAACTAATTTCTGAAAGCCAGCTATCGGGAGAGTCAGCACGGTTAATTGGGTGTTCAAATGGTGTTTCGATATCATCTTCCCACCAGCAAATCTCTATTAAAGTTGTTAAGAGTAATCCATTTGAGTTTGGTCATATATTTTTTGTTATTAATTTAGGTGGAGACTGTGTTCCATGAGTTTGGTCATGCATTTCTTCAGCACACGCTAAAAAGACAAGATGAAGGGCTTGTTGCTGGTATTCGTGGCATAGAGTGGGATGCTGTTGAGTTACCTTTCCAGTTCATGGAAAATTGGTGCTACCGTAGGTATATATATATATATATATATATATATATATATATATATATATATATATATATCCAGTTTCAAGATGTTGTTCAACTGCTGTAGGAATGAGGTGAGGGTGGCTGATGAGAATTTGTGACAGGAATTGTCCGATTGGGGATTCCAACTCAAGTGGGGCAATTGGCGCATCAGATCCAACAGAATCAGAAGATAATGAGGCCTTTATTGCAATTCTCTTCTTTTGAATATGAAAAGATGCACTTTTCAGTCCTAATCTGGGATGTGAAAATGAAAGGAACCCCTGCTTAGCCAACAAAACAAAGTAAAATTCAGTTACAACACTTACCCAAATATAGCATTCTACCTTTAATTTTTCTCATCAAGACATAATGCTTTAAATAATCTACCCAAGGATAATAGCAAAAATTGTTATGGATGGACTGTATAGGTGTACAAATGAATTTAAGAAAAAGTCATTTTCAAAGGGTTCTTTTGAAGAACAAAGTAACCATGGGTTTGGTTTAGGTTTTGCAAGTTTCAACCAGATTTTAAACAAACAAAAAGACTACATACATTTTCAAACTTAAAACATGTTGTAACTCTTTATTTTTATTTTTTTAACAGTGATTTAATCTTTTTTATCCAAAAGACAACAGGAGGCTAGGTAGTTAATCAATCATCAAAGACTTTGTGTCACTTTTCTTGATGTTTTGAAATTTTATATTTACAAATTTCATGCCTTATTTCAGTTATATTATTATCATCTATTTTCTGCCCTTTCTAATCCGGCAAAACTCTACAATGACCTTCGATGGAATGTCACAAGGCTATAAGGTTTTAAAGTTGTGATGCGTGTTAGATGCAGTCAGGTAAGAGCCTAAGCTTACTGGAGGGCATTTACATCTTTTTGCTTTGTTTATTTGTTATTCTTTTATTTTAAGTAGGGACTTTAAGTACAAGAATACTTAAGAAACTTCTGTAAATGTATTCCTATAGATGTTGACTTACCTGGGATTTTATACTATCTCTAAATATAAACCTACATACATATATTATATATATGTTTTTCATTTTTGTTAAATTTTTAAATGAAAAATGTTATTTTTCAGGTTGATTGTGACAAATCACTAATGGTAACATTGAAAAATGATGACAAACTAACTGATGGCACAAAATGTTCTTTCCAGGTATATAATTTCTATTTCTTTCTCATACAAAACCACTATATTTTTCTATACTTTTCAAATTATAATGTCTTGAATTAATGTACATTGCTATTTTATCTAGTGTGCACTTCTTTATACTATTGTATACGGGTAAAGAAGAATACGTGTGTCCACCTTATCAGAACCATGAACCACCATGCTTCAAGAAAGAGGTTACAAACTTTTCATCTGATTTAAAGGTATGCTAGAATCACTCGGTTAACAAACCCGTATACTATTAAAATATACATATAATGCTAAAATATTCTATTAGTAGATAACATATTTCATCTGGTGTCTGTTAGGTTTATTCGTACCGCAAGGTACTACCATACTACCACAGCTATCCCAGGATTATCGTACCATAGCTTGCTATAGGTTGGAAGTAGTATTACATCTTATTTTGCTAAAATTACTTATTTTCCCTTAGCCTTGATCTTATCTTTTTTTAATTTGTTGTTACAAGCTTTGGATATTTAGAGAAGCCTTAACCCAAATATGGATATTTAGATAAGCTTTGATGTTATCTTTTTTGTTGTTACAAGCTTTGGTGCCACTATTTTTGAAAATTCTTGTGTCTGCCCCTCAAGTTATACTTGGATGCTATCTTATTTAGCATATATAGATGTAACTGTTGTCCTTTTAATGTGTTAAGAACCAAGTTTTATTCAGTTAAGTTATCTATAGCACCAATCAATATTGTTCCTCTATTTTTTCTTGTTTCTGTTGTTCTAATTCCTCTTTTCTTCTCCCTAGTTCTTCTGTTTTTCCTTGGTGAACAAGGTACAGGTACAACTACGAATATCGTTGATTACATATTCAACAAAAGTACTGCTATTACAATTGAGAAACTTTTTACAGATGTTGAAAAGAGTCATAAAATCTTGAAACTCCTTATAAACTCGTTATTGAAGAATAGTTGTTAGTAATTGAGGGTAAACTTCATCGCCTCTAGTACATATAGTAGCAGGTAGGTGTGGGCTTCTTTCTCTTTAATTTTGTTGGTCTTTGTCAAATACCAATTTCATTCTAGTTAAACAACATATGTGTTACTTTTTCAACATGTTTGTAGTTTATATGAATCTGTTGTAGGGTTGGGAAGACCTCTCTGATGAACCAATAAGCTCTTCGCAATGCTGGTGAGATGAAGCTTCCAATACAATTCCATTTGTTATTACTGTTGGAATATAATCTAGACTTAAGGGTATTTTGGTAATTATGTTAGAATTCTGGAAATTATATCACTATTTAATAATTTAGGGATTAGATATAAGCAACTGTTATAGAAGTTAAGGTTTTAGGAAGTCTATGATTGAACTGTGGTCACTGAAGAGTTGCAATGTTAGGAATAAAAGTCACAATGGTTTGACTTGTATTTGTATGTCTTATGTAACTTTGTAACTGATCTTCCTTGAAGTCTATAATAAAATTTTGGTTTTGTGTTTTACAATTCTTCTTCTCTCCCCTTCGTGTAATAATGTTCTTTCATGCTCTTTTGTGATTATGAGACATTAAATGCAAATTTAATTTGAAAATTAGTAAATCAATAAATAATATTTTTTTTAAACATTTAAAATTATGATACGCAAAAATGCGTGTCATCTTCATTTATGACATTGGCTTTCTTGACAGGGGCTTTCTTGATATGCATTGCGAGTCATTAACATGAGCGTCGTAAGGTTACGACACGCGAATAATTGTCGTCTTCCTTTATGACAGGGCCTTTCTTGATACGCATTGCGTGTCGTAAACGCGCATCGTAAATGCACGTCGTCTATAGACGACGCGCAAAACCGCATCGTCTCTCTTTATGATAGGGCCTTCCTTGACGCGCATTTGCGCGTCGTCTGAGCCTTTTAGAGAGACGACGCAGTTTTGCATGTCGTCTGAGCCTTTTACGACGCGCAGTGAGCGTCGTAAAAGGTTGTTTTTCTAGTAGTGCAAGAACCAGGTACTACATTTATTTTGGTGCATTTGAGTAGATATGAAATGTATCGTAGGTACGCGCTTTTGTTAATTTTTGTAAACCGACCCTTGTAGTAGATGGAGCCCACCTAAAGGATGAGTTCAAAGGCACCACGTTACTTGCAATTAATAAGGACGGACAAAACCAAATATTGCCAGTTGCATATAGTATATGCAAAAACGACTGTACAGATTCTCGGTCATGGTTTTTTCAAAAACTACATGATTGCATAGGCAATATGGAGGAGCTTATAATTATATCTGCCAGGTCTCCATCTATAGCGAAATCTGTGCCAACGTTTTTCCTCACGCTCATCACAGAATATGTGGTGTCTATTTGTATTTCAACGTAGTAGCTAGATACGGGAAGAGTAAGACAGATAAAGGAATTTTTTGCAGGCTTGTAGGGCGTATACAATTGATATTTTTGATGCTGTCATGAAACTTATGAAAAAGACAAAAGAACCGGTACGGGAATACTTAAAAAGTATAAATCCTGAACTTGGTCTAAGGCACATTTTAGAGGAAACTGATACAATCTTATGTCATCTAACAGTGTGGTGTCTATAAATGCATTATCTAGACATGCACGTAAGGTGTCGATACTTATGTTGATCAATTTTTTTCGTGCAACAATGGTGATTTCAAATACATAACTTTGCAGGTATTAAGTTTTAATATTAACTTTTTTGTTATATTTTATTGATCTTAACTGTGCAGTTTTGTATATTTTTTAAGCGGAAACAACAACAACACTCACCCCTTGGGCCGATGATATTGTAAAAGAAAACAAAAAATCTTTTATTAATTGGGATGTTTCCATGATCTCAAGTACGAAATGTGAGGTAAAAAAGGGGGCACAAAACGTGATTGTTGATTTCCAACAAATGACATGTACATATAGGCATTGGCAACTTGATGACATACCTTGTGGCCATGTCTTAAGAGCGTTAACAGTCAACAATTACCAAGATTGCTCAAAGTTTGCATTAAATGCTTACTATACCAAAACAATGAGGAAAACGTATGAGGAATCAGTAAACCCTTTGCCAAAGCCATCCGAATGGGAGATCCCCGATGTTTTGATGATTGTTAAGCGATCTATAATGGATAAACGTCAGTTAGGCAGGCCAAGAAACACAGACTGCATTCCATCCCAATGTGAGAGTCCAATTTGAAAAGAGTGTTCTACATGTGGTCAAGCAGGACACACGATAAACAAGTGTTCTGGAAGGGCGTCCGGTAGTGGAGCACGTCGCACGGGAATTCCTACTACAGAAACGACATTTAATATTGGTGGTTCTTCGAGCTGGTCACAAAGATATGACACCGATTTTGATATAAAACAACCTTAAATTGAAGAGTTGCTAACTTATTATGTATTGTAATGTTTTTATTAAATCTTATAAGATGTTGTTATGCTTTCATATTTTAATTTAGTTTGCAGATTATAACAACATATGAAGCTTTTATATTTTGATTTAGTTTGCATATTATAACAAAAAATGAAGCTTAACGGTAAACAAACATGTTAATCTAAAAAAACACCAAACCCAACTCATGATAATGTTACAACTATTTTTTAACTAATTATTAAACTCAGGGAACTGCAACGAGTACTTCTCTTTCTCGATTGTTATATAATCATCTCTAATTCTCATTTTATCTTCCAAACAATCCTTTTGCACCCGAAGTTGTATCATCTATGTGTCCTTGTCAACAATCCATTTTTCAGTCATTTTGATTGTCTTCTTAGTCTTTTTTATCCATTCTTCATGCTCTTTGATTTTCTTTTTATTGAGGTCTATCCCTTCTTGAGCTTGTTTGCATTCCGATAGAATAACATTACGACGTTCACTGAAAAGTCAGGATGACTCTTTATCCTGTTTTTATTGTTCTTCAACCTTTTTCAATTCATCAAAATTTTCATCTAACATATATGAGCTTGTTGAAGAGGTTGTAAAAAAAGGGTCGACTGGATCACAGTAGTAACAATCTACTTCGTTGCATGAGCAAATTTCAAACTTTTCGGAGGAACTCATAATAAAGTTGAGATTTTATTTAGTATTTTTAATAAGAAAATGTTGGTATAAGTCGCATTTATACACACTAGTAATCTCCAAATCATAGTCTAAATGCAATCATTTCGTAGTAAAAGTTGTAATACATAGTCAAACTTCAAAATGACTACACATTAGTGACAAGTCACTATAGTAACCTGCAAATTGTAGTCAAACTTCGAAATGACAACACATAAATGACATGATAAGTCACTGCAATAACCTCCAAATCATAGTCCAAATGTAACCATTTCGTAGTTAGATTTGTTAATTCCTATTTTTATTAATATAAATACATGTTTAAGCTCTACGAAACGAAAACCCTTATCATATAAACGAAAACCCTTATCATATAAACGAAACCAACTCCTAACACGATGTTGGCTTAATATAAATAGATTTGTTAATTCCTATTTTTATTAATGTCATCGAATGCAGCATCTTCTTCGAATGAACTACCTGGTTCCAATTATGAACGATCATGGACGCTAAACAAGGTGTTGGTTCTAACACGATGTTGGCTTAGTGTTAAGGAAGGTGTACTATTACTGACTTTCCTGCATTAACTAGTAGGTGATGAATGGACCCAAATAACAGCGTTGTTCAACAATGAGATGGGAGAATGAAAACACCGACAACAATCAAATATTGTCAGTAAATGGATGGATGTAAAGGAAGAAGTCACATGGTTCAATCGAGCGTGTAATTATGCGAAAAATTCGAATTTTTGTTATGTAGAGGACGAACAGTTCTTGGAAGATGTTAAAGATTTTTACATTTTGGAGCGTGAAGGCAATGAATTTGATTATGAGGACGTTTGGAAGGTTGTTAAAAATAATAAGTATTTCAACTAGACAACTCTATTTCCGTTAAAAATAACCCATGGAATTGTTTTAAGTTTAATGCTTTGTTTGGTAGTAATGTTTGATGGAATTGTTGTTAGTTTAATGGTTCATTGAATTGTTGTTAGTAATGCATTGTAATGTCTCGTTAAAAATAATGCAACGAGTATTTATAATTAACATTAAACAGAGGAGGTGCATCTAATTCAAACATAATACATGAAAATAACCTAGTACAAACATAGAAATACATATTAAATAAACAAGACATATTTCAAAATATTCCAAGGGGCTTCAAAATGGAATTCCGATCCGTCACTTAATGATTTGTATTCCTCCTTAGCAGCTTCCAAGATGACCTCCTCAGTAGCATTTAACCGGGCGTCGTCAATTTTGGTATAAATATCATTGAATAATAGAACTTCAGTTTTCTTTTCATACCATTTCGCTAAGATATTCAGTTCGTCACGATGGGTTGTTGTAGTCATTCGATTTTCAACGTTGAAGATATCGGTTAAACGAGTCCAAAACATTGGATCGTTCAACTTGCTGGTCTCGTACTACGCCCCGCTTTATCTATCCTCTCGTCCAACTCCTACATTAAAATTCAAACATTATAAATATTAACGAAAGGCGCCTTAACATTTAACAATTAAAATCGTATTTGTAATATATATAATAATCTTGTCGTCTTCAATATCACCAAAAACAGTTTCATTGGTTTTTTTTTTATTCATCGACTCATCTTCTACAACCTACATTTTCAGGTATAAAATATTTTAAAAAAAGTACAAATATGTTAACAAATTTTATAAAAAATTTAGGTTGTAACTAACCTTTCACCAAAATTTGTTTGGATTACTGTAGGTTCCTCGAAGTTGATGTTGTTCCATATGTTTTCATTATCCACTTCTTCTATAAACACCTCAGTAGGTTCTTGGTTCATAAACACAGTTGCTCCAGTGCATGTAGTCGTTTCAACACCTCCTCTAAGCTTGGTTTCCAACTAGGTCCACCTATACCGTGAGAGAGACCACCAGAAGACATATTAGACGAAGATGTGTCTTGTCTCCTAAAATGGTCCCGTACTGAGGATGGAACTGAGTTCCGTTCACCATATACATACTCTTGAACTGACATATAATAAGAATACGTCGTCTCATCATCACTCGGTGACATGTTATTTCCTGAGCGTCGTCCCTCCTAAAACAATTTAACATATTAAAAACGCATATAAAAGTGTAATAAGGAATTTTTTTAAATTAAAATAATATTTACAAACCTTTATCATTTCAAAAATCTTGTTCTCATCAACCAATTTCAAATTTTTTGTACTACTTCATCGTTTCATACGAGGTGTGTCTCGGTTTTTTCTTAACGCAAATCCACCAGCACGAACAGCTGGAAACATATCATATACTCATATCTACAATTTTCACAATTATAGTAATAAAAATTAAAATAACTAACATAGAAATAACATCTTATTTAAAATAATAATAAATTTGTATACTCTAAATGGCATCGTAAATCCTGAAATGGAGTATTTAAAGGTTTGACGACGCTCCGGCAGTGAAAAATATCTATCTATCTTGTTCCACGTATCCTTAAGGTCGTCATAGGTAAACTCCCAAAGATAGCTACCCCAAGCAAAACTGCCAAAAAAATATTAATTATAATATACATTACCATTAATAATATGATTTTTCAAAGTAAACAAAAAATACATGTTCCACACATCCAAATTCTCGGCCAAAAAAAAACCAGTCTTGCACCACCCAGTCATTTATTTATTTTCCCAAAAATCCTTCACACAAAACGTATATAAGACAGATTCTAACTGCATCATCGTCGATAGCTTCTAAGAAGGAATTATTAAAAATAAAACTTTTCAGGTCATAGATTTTCGACAAAAATGCAAAAATGGTCCCTGTGGTTTGGCATTTTTTGTGAATATGGTCCAAAACTTTTAAAAATTGTATTTTTGGTCCTTATTGAGAGGTTCGTTTGTGGAAAAAGTCCCTAAAGTTAACTTCCGTGTGTTTGTGGCTGTTAAACCCCTCACGTGCATTGCACATGAGGGCATAAATGTCTTTTTACTTGAGTGACCATTTTTACAATTCCTGAAATAAACCCACTTATTACCGTCTTAGCGCCATATTACACAAAAAATATTTTGTCCAAGGTGTTATCTCTTGCACTTCCATCTTCGTCGTCATTCATTTTGAATGCAAAAACCCTAATCAATATTTGGTCCAAGGTGTTTACTTGTTTTTGCTATTCAACTGTAAATGGTGTTCGTAATGTGGGCGATTAGGCTAAAAGGCGAGACGTATGACATCACAAATTAATATGGTAAGTTTCACTTATCCTCTGTTTACAAAATTTTCTTGGGTTTCTTGATGATCTGAAGAACAGAGCCAAAAATACAAACATCTGATAATTTTTTACTTAATGTTTTTTGTGTCTTGTTGAGCGTGTACCAACAATGTTCACCATAAAGCTACACCATGGTGGAAATTTTACCAAGCTTCCAAACACGAAATATGTTAAAGGTGAAGTGTGATATATTGATTTAGTAGACATTGATGAGTTCTCAGTTCATGAACTAGACGCAATGATGCTAGAGCTAGGTTACTCTGTACCCCCAGTAATATATTACCATTTTAGGATTCCTCGTGAAGACTTGGATTTTGGTCTTAGAGCTTTAGGGAATGATAACGATGTCTTGAATTTGGCTCAATATATTGGAGATAACAAGGTCATTGAAGTGTATACAAAACATGGACAAACTAATTTGCTGACCTATTTTATGTCTCCAAAAGGAAAGCAAAAAGTTATTATTAAGGAGCTCTGTGATGGTGATCTTCCAAAAGAAGCAAATGTACCTCAAGTACTAGCAAAGGATAAAACCCCAATAATAGATGAAGCTAATCATCAAGCACAATTGGCAGGGTATATGTCCTTGATACTCTTTGACAGAGTCCCTACACAAGTTTCACCAGAGTATAGAAGAAATGGAATGGTGAACTCATTAGTTGGTCAAAGTTCTTGTGCCAAGAAGCTTCGTTTAGTTGAATTGGATGATGTAATAGAAGATCAAGGTGGTGATCATGCTAAATTGGAGGATGTTTTACAAGATCAAGGTGGTGAGAATCCTAAATTAGATGATGTAGTACAAGATCAAGCTAGTGAGCATGCTAACATGGATGATGTGCTTTAAGATCAAGATGCTGAGCATGCTAACATAGATGACGTGGTACAAGATCAAGGTGGTGACCATGATAACTTTGATTATGATGACTTTCACTATGAGAACTTTTCTCATGATCACTTTAATACTTTTGATGGGGAATATTATCAACCACCAGAAGATGATAATTTTGAAGACCATCAGTCTGAACACGAAAAGTCTGCTGACAGTGATGATCTTGGGAAACAATCAGAAGAATAGTATGATGAACTTGTTGATGATGAAATCAATGTATCAGAAGTGGTGGTGGATATGACTGACTTTAACCTCAATCTTGATAGGGATGATGGTTGTGTTCAAATGGATGGGTTTCATAACGGGGTTGGGACAAATGATGAACATGAGGACATAGAAGTCATTGACAATGATAGATGAGATTTTTTAGATGAAGGGTCAGAAGATGCAAGGAAAAGAAGATATGTTCTTAAGAATTTGGCTAAGGAGAAAAGATGCCATCTTGGCAATGTCCATAAGGCCAGTTTTTATGTTGGGAAAAAGTTTAAATCAAAGAAAGATTTAAAAGAAAAAATTGACATGTATGCATTAGAAACTAGGAGGAATTTATATTATAAAAAGAATCACAAGCTTAGACTTCGGGCATTGTGTAGAGACGTAGTCCCTATCATGAATGCAAGTAGGGTGGTAGACCTTAGTACCAAAAATAAAAGAAAGGGCAAAGAGGTAAATTCAAATAAAGTAAACTATAATTGGTTCCTTCATGCTTCTAGGTCAAACACAGAATCTCCCTGGTTTGTAAGGACATTAAATGACAACCATACTTGCCTTCAAAGTAGGAAGATTAGAGCTTGCACTGCTAATTTTATATCCAAGCAAATCATGGACCAAATCGACACAAATCCAGGGATTCCTCTTCGAGCATTGCAAGAACAACTTCCAAAAGGACTTCGAGGTTGGTGTTTCTATTAACAAAGTATTCAGTGCCAAGGCTATTGCAACTAAGATCGTGGAAGGTGACTATACGAAACAATATGAGATATTGAGGGACTATGTCCTTGAATTGCAAGCAACCAATTTTGACACAACTGTCAAGATTGATGTTTACAGTGAACATAACCCATCAAACCCAACGAGGAGATTTAAAAGAATCTACATTTGCTTAGGTCTTCTGAAGAAAGGTTTTAATGCTGGCCTCAAGGATCATTTGGGTTTCGATGGTGCGCATATGAAAGGACCATTTCTTGGGCAGGTTCTAACAGCAGTTGGGTTGGACTCTAACAATGGTATGTACCCCTTGCTTATTCCATTGTTGAGACAGAGAACAAAAGTAGTTGGATATGGTTCTTGTAGTGTTTAGGAGAAGACTTGGATCTTGGTTCAAACTCAAACTTTACTTTTATCACAGACCGAAAAAAGGTATCTCTTTCTAAGTTGTATTATTAATTAGTTTTTATTATATAAACTAAATACTTAATTATTGTTATTGTTTTAGGGTTTAATACCAGCAATAGCCCAACTATTCCCATGTGTTGAGCACAAGTATTGTCTCAAGCACATACATCAGAACATGAGAGTGAAATGGAAATTGAAAGAATACAAGGATCATTTATGGAGATGTGCAACTGCAACCACTGTACCTGAATTTATACATTTCATGAGAGAATTTAGCAACTATGACAGGGAGGCATGTGAAGGTCTTAGAAAGATTCCTTCAAAACATTGGGAAAGAAGCCATTTTACAGGTACATAACTTACCATAAATTACTATATGTTAAATGTGGACTTGTACTTAAAACAATATGCTGTTATTTTTAACAGGCAGAGCAATCTCTGATATACTGTTAAACAAACTTTGTGAGGTATTTAACAACAAGATAATAGAGGGAAGAGATAAGACTATCATAGGTTGTTTGGAGTATATTAGATAATACTTGATGAAGATAATCTATAATGTTATGAAGGTGATGGACAAGGCAAAAGGGCCTTTAACACCTACTGCAATAACCATATTGGATGTAAACAAATCTCATGCATTACATTACATTGCTAGGTGGAATAGGGGTGAGAAATACCAAGTCACTGGGGCATGGCAAGATTGAAACACCGTAAATTTCCAAAACAATTTTTCGCATTTATATAAACATAATTCATTTGTAAATCATAAAAATATCATTGTTTGAAACTCAATTTATAACATATAACAATCCCAAGATCTCATAACATAAAAATCCCGTGTGTGTACTGATCAAGTCGGCGCCTTCCCGCGATCCTCACTAGTACCTGAAACATATAACACAAAACACTGTAAGCACAAAGCTTAGTGAGTTCCCCAAAATACCACATATAACACATATTAGCCACTCGAGGCTATAACTCTGTGGGTCCGTGCACCCAATACTCTGTGAACCCTCAGGTTCTAACTCTGCAAGCATGCACAACATAAATCACATAGAAGAATGCAGTGCAACAAACAATATATATAAAACACTGTATCACATAACTCTATTTACCTACTCAAGGTAAAGTATAGTGAGAAGACTCACCTCGCATATCTCGGTAACTCGTAAATCCCTGAAATCACTAGTGTTCGATCTCCCGAGCTATAGTCCTCCTATAACACAATACATCTCTAATTAACACTTTCCTAACTAAGGTTGACTAACCCTATCAAGTCAACACCGGTCAACTCTGGTCAATGGTCAACGGTCAACTCAACTCGCCGAGTCTGGCGTGGACTTGCCGAGTCTCTACGAGTACCCGATTCCTCTAAGTCCCTTCTGACTCACTGAGTCACTCACCCAGCTCGGTTACTCAACCCCTGGTTTGAAATCCCTGAACAACCCGCACCAACTCGTCGAGTCTGCCAATGGACTCGGCGAGTGCATCCCATGCACAACCCCAAATGACCTTCTGAGGTAAGATCTGTTCCACTAACTCATAGATCCAGTCCTTCCAAGCTTATTTATCACGTAAAGTTCATGTCTTGGCACTCATATCACACCTAATGACTCATAAATGGTGTTTTGACCTCAAACACAAAGATCCCAAACCAAAACCTCCATGGATTCATAAAAAGCTTGGACAAAGGGACACTCTGGACCTCCAAGGGTCCAGATCCAGAACCTAACTCGCTTAAGGGACCAAATGAGCACTAGATCTAGCCACAAAAGGGCTCAATAAGCCCTAAATCAATATAAACACCACCTCAATAGAAACGGGTTCAAAAGTGGCACCTCAAATGTGATGTTCTGGACCTCAGATCTTCAGGAAGTTAACCCTCTTGCTTCCTCTTGGCTATAGCTTCCTTTCACTTGCTAGACAACACCACCAAGGTTAACAATGGCTTCTTCTCTCACTCCAAACGCTCAAGCTCACTAGGGTTTCTCTCTGGGGACTGGTGAGCACAAATTAAGGCCATAAGGCCCTTTAAATAGGCCCCAAACCTGATAAATTAGGGTTTCATTAAACAACACGGATTAGTCGAGTCCATCAATGCGACTCGTCGAGTCCGATCATTAATCCGGATGAGAAATCGTGTCTCTACTCGGTGAGAGTACGCACCAACTCGCCGAGTTATTCCATAAAACTCCAAATAAAATGAATAAATATAATACCTGAAATTCTAGATGTTACATTTCTCCCCCACTTGAATCTGACTTCGCCCTCGAAGTCTCATCCCTAAAACAGCTCTGGATGCTGATCCCGCTTCTCACGTTCTGGCTCCCAGGTCAACTCAGATCCTTTCCGATGTTGCCACAGAACCTGTAGCAGAGGCACCTCCTTGTTCCTCAGAACCTTGATTTTCCATTCCACAATCGCAACTGGTCTCTCCGCGTAGTTCAGGCTTGCATCCACCTGAATGTCCTCTAACAGCACTACCGCCAACTCGTCGGCTATACACTTCCTCAACTGAGACACATGGAAGGTATTATGAATCCGCTCCAATTCCGCAGGTAGCTCCAAGCGATATGCTACCTTTCCCACCCTCATGATTACTCTGAACGACCCGATATACTGGGGCCCTAGCTTTCCCCTCTTCCTGAATCGAATCACTCCTTTCCAAGTGTTGGATTAATGTCTAAGTCCATAACTATAATTGGTAAAACTTGACCCGACCCGGCATGGTCCATTTGGGTTGCATGGCATCATGCACTTGGATAGACTAAAATGAGAGAAATAACACTTAAGGTTTGTTAATATATTATAAGTTCTAATATATTAATAAGGTTATTTAATTAGTATTGATCAAGAATTAATTTGGAATTAATTAAGTGATCAAAAGGAGACTAATTAAATATATGGGTTGATTGTGTAAATCATTCATTCTTATATATGTGGGCTTGTGATCCAAGATTCCTTATGTTGGACTAAGTCCATGGGGTGACCCATGGATACTCCATGGAGGTTAAAATCCATGGAGCATAAGGAATGGGTAAAGTCATGAGTTACATGGTGTAACCCTAATAGCCACCATATAAAAGAAACCCATGGCTCAAGAAATCGAGACTATGTATGTGTATGAGGGCTAGACGATTTCATGAAGTGTTCTAATTTCTCTCTAAGTTATTCCAAGTGCTTATGGTGTTGTGTGAACCATTTGAGGTGTCACACTTGGGGCACTAGGCACTCAAGCTTCATGAAGACAAGCACTATCAAAGAGGTATGTATTCTATCTTGTTATATCCATTATTTTGTATGCTAGATTATGATAATACCTTGGATGTTCATATTTGCATGTATAATAGAGAAAACATAGATCCAAGGTATTTAGGGTTGCATGTACACTTAGGAGTGTTAGAATGCTCATAACCCAACAGTGGTATCAGAGCCTAGGCTTGTTTTCTTGTTATACCTGCAATAGAAGCTGAAAAATCGAGTTTTGATGCTGTCAGCCCAGCTGACTCGCCGAGTCCATGAAGGAACTCGACGAGTCCAAGGCAAAATGCATCCAACTCGTCGAGTTGTGTTCATGCACTCGACGAGTTGGACCCCAGACAGCATATCTTCGAGGTTTTTGGATAGAAATGGACTAGGAACATTACCCTATGTTGTTTTGAACTTATAAACTTGTTTTTTGATGTGGTAATGTTCATGCTAATCCATTTTCAAAGATAATTGTCAATAGATTCATGTTTTGTATTAGTTTAAAGGTTAGACTAATTATATGAAAAAGTTTGATGTGAATTATCTTGTTCTTATGAGTTTCTTAGATTAATAGAAAAGTTGAATGAAATAGTTGTTTT